ATGAAAGACAAAAATAAAATGAGACCAGTAAGAATGTCGAAAACTTGAAACTCTCGGCATAACTTATTAATTTGTTTCAGGTGAATCAAAGGTGCTTGTTTGGTTACAATTTTTTCACTTCGCTTTAAGCCAGAACCTTTTAAATCATCATTTTGTTGCTCCTACCCGATTTTGCACAGAAGCACGGACCTTTATCGTCATTTGCCTTGGACGATTCCTTGACTTGCTGCAAGACAGCTGCTGATGGTCACATGGCGATAAGGCAGACCCACACAACACAAGAATCAAGAGGGAGCGAGAGAATAAGAACTGCTAATCTTTGCCACATGTGGAAACCAACTAGAGAGTGACTTCATTGTAATAACGGAGAAACGAATGCAAAGCATGTGCCGACTATTTTGGATCTAGTTGCGACTTCTGATCTGCTTTTATGCCACCAATACATCGGCATTCATCTATGCTACAAAAAAGCTTTGCATCGTAAAATCTTCATGCCTAGCTTAGAGATTCGAAATGGCTACTTTTAAGAGGACTTACTAGTGTCCTTCATTGTTCCGAGGATGTTTTCGTCTCTGCTACAAAAACGCTATTGCTGATCTCACAAAGGCAAGTCAGTTTAAAGTTTTCCTAGTGCATTTTCTTTTATCATTTGTCGCCCACCTACTTTGTACTCATTCGTAAGTGTTATCGGTGCTTTCGCTGAGGACCTAGTCATCCGCCATCATAGCACTTTATTGATGATCACAGTGGTGAATGCAACAACTAATGACAATGCATTTATAATTCAGCGCCAACTGGTTCGCACTGAGTGCCATCGGTGCTGCAATATCTGTCCACCCGATGCACATATAGTACTAAATGGTTAAGATTACGATGGACTAGTATACGCGTGGCAACCAAGTGGACACATTTTCAGCCGTCTTAAAGGCGGCAGCGACCAACTCCTAACTGTTGTCCCCTTTAAACAAGCACTTCTAGATATTGTCAATTGCAGGCACTTTCTGCCTTTGGAACGATGATTTAGAGGAATGAAATCGTTAATCATTTCATCATTCTAAGGTTGTGAATAGAAAGGGGCATTTTGAATGTCTAGCTTGATAATGAACCCTTTGTGCAAAAAAGTGGTGAGCCTCGAATTGTAGTTGGTGTGAGCTTAGAGCATTTGGAGTGAAGCCATGAGTGTACGTTTGTGTGGGGACTAATGGACTCGACTGCTGTTAGGAATTGCTATGGTGAAACTTCCTGAGTGCATTTTGACTGCGAGTGTACAAGAGGAATTAATGGCGCTGAACACTCAGCCCAAAGAGCCTGAAGGACATCGAAATTAAGTTGCTAAAATTTGAAGCACACTTTCGCTTCCATATCGTTAAACAGTTGTAGTAAAATCAGGAACGGCAACCCATTTCTGGCAGTGCGAGGGAAAAATCCACCTGGTCTAATTGCTGCATCAAACATTGAGACGTTAGTTTTGAAGCCTTCCAGTCTTCTTCTCAGTGGAGTATCGATAGGTTGCATTGTTGGGTGCGTTTAGTCTTTAAAATTTTCCAAGAAGCGTGCCTTCCTAGGGCGAGATGAGCTAGTACTGACCAAGTCAAAATACTGCATCAATTTCACCTGCTAGTGGAAATGTCTGCCTATCTTTGTCGCTGCAAAAATGGATTGTAGTCACAACACAGAGTATGGGGCACATGTAATATTTAGTTTTTATGTTCGAGGTGTAGCAACTATAAAAACCTCACTTGATAAAATTAGAAACAGGCAATGATATATTGTGGAGTTTCACACAACCCTTCATTATGCTCACGAAGCAACTCAACTTCCGAATAGCGGCAACGCCTCCAGGTGGTACCGAGCCTCTCAACTTTTATGCGCATCGCCAACACATACTCCGCCCTATTATTATATCCTCATCAACCTTCAAGGCAATCTCAGAGCGCCTTTTACACCAGTATTCTAATGTGTATTTGCATAGTGGCACAATTGAAGAAACCGTCAAAAGCACAACTCGTTGATCACCAAAAGGTTCTGGACAAGAGGGAACCTGTGGGTTTGAAAAGTGTTTTCAAGGTAGGCAATTCGGTTGCGTCATTTGATGATTGATGCGAACTAAAGAAATGCGCAACAGCAACGATAACATTCGTGTCTGACTGGGCCATCATGAGGGACAAAAGAAGTGCATTAAAAGCTCAAGCTCCCAAAATTACAGTTTATTTGCCTCTTGAATGCTTTAACAAGCCACGCAGTAGAGGAGCAGTAAGTTGATTTTAAAAGAATTTCACGATTCCAACTTCATCACAACAGCACATGCCTAATTCGTCCACTACGATACGGACAGAAACCATCTGTTGCCATCACAGTGTGCTAATTTAGAGAAGCAAGAAAAATGACATGAGTCCACCATAATTGAACAAATTAAGACTGAATTGGTGGACTAATTAAGTCTTTACCAAAAGTACAAATTTTGTAGAACTTCTGTACGAAAATTGTTTAGCCCTTCACCTTATCGTTGTGGAACCTCAAATTTTGCTGGAAATAAGCATTCCAAGTAGTTCTTTTGATAGTAATGCAATACTTTGTTTTTGACTACCGGCCTTGGTTGCAGTCACCAAGGGGACCATATTGCCTCGGTCGGATGTATTGGCCTTCGGTCGATGCCAAAAGCTCCGACCTCCTTCCTTCTTAATGCATACGTGTCTTTTGCTTAAGGACTATGCCTTTCTCTATACACAAGAAAGTCTCCGAACGCCACAGTTGAGGCATCAAAAGTTTTGTAATGTCATTTTAGACAATCTAGCTTCAACTCTGCTTGAAAATTCTACTTGCTTAAATGATTTGCGTGAAAAAGTTGGTAGTTTTCAGACCTACTTTTGCAAAATGTGTTGCCCTGCTTTAAACTGGATCTGTTCTTTTCGTGCAGTTTTTTTGCGCCACATAGCAAACACAGCCCACTGTCTTACCAGTTCGAATGGAAATCTCTCCAATTCATCATGCATTTCATGGTAGTGTTCGAAACAATTTGCTCTTGTGTAAACGAATTGGGTCATTATTAATTCCACAAAAGAGTAGAGATCGAGCTTACGGCAGTTTTTCAGCTCTATCCACGTACTCTGTGTGGTATGGTAAAAGTACTTGCGACAGAGTGATAAACTGGCACCTATCAGTGAGCGGTCCGGCAATTCTTTGGAGTGGAACTAAGAGCTGCGCATTGGGAAACTATTGTACCATCTTCCACAATTTGCTCTTCCACCTCTGAGTTCTTCCTCGTGGATCAAGAAGGCTAGTTTGAAGAACGTGTCGTTTGTTACGACAGTATGGATAATTACAAACGATTTAGACGCAACGAAGTTTGCCTCCTTCCAAAGTATTGATGGCGCTCTCAACCACCGCGTTGTTCACATTACGCGCTTGTCACTTGAAATAAGCACTCAAACAAACTATCACTGAAGACTTATTCACTAGCTCTTTTTTAGTCAAAATGAAGTCATTTGCCCGTACCATTTTCAAGCAGTGCTAAATTTGTCCTCCACTGAACTGGGTGGTCCTGACGGATGGCATCTTATCCGTTGCACGTGTCATTTTGCTCGGCTGTGGGGTAACGACAATTAAGCGGTTGGCGGACCTCTGACGTTTGCCTAGCAGTGACCCTGCGTATCAATCAGGGCACCTAACAAGCAGAATAGTGCACAAGTTTTAAAGTTGGTGAGTTTAGTTTGCAATGATATTTGTCAAAAAAAGTTCTTACAGATCCGAAGGAAATGCGAGACTGAAAATCGTCCAACCACATCAGGAATCTCTCACTGAGCAGTGACCAAGGCATTTCAGTAGCATACCTTTTTATTGATAAAATTTTTGGAATTTTGTTACGACTAAAATTGGTGGTTGGCTAATAGTGGGTTAAAAGAAAATGATTTGTGATTGCCTTAAAAATGCATTAGTGGTAGCAAGTTCACTTGGTGAGAGGCTATAAACAATGCATCAATATAGTGTAGGAACAGATTAGTACGGCTTTGACCCGCCTTAATTATTCACAGCTATCATTTGTTATGGTACATTTTAAGGCCCTGCATAGACTTTCTAGCAGCACGCAAGACGGGGCGCGTACAGTATATTTGCCTGCTCTTACAGCTGAAACGAATGTAGATGGCTAAAATGTGGTTTGTGTTGACGTTGTCCCCCTTTTTAATGGACAGCTTCAATGCGTTAGTAGTCACACGAATAATTTTTCAGGACTTTTGCTAGCGTGAGCGGATTTGATGCAGATTCAAACCACGACTCGAGCTCCTCGCCGTTTTGAAGCTCACCTCCAAAGTGGGGCGGCATGCATGAGATATTTTCGAATTCTAAGCATTTATAAGCATTGGATAAACTCTCCTCGTTTCTATTTTACTTTTTTGAAGTGCTGATGGAAAGGACAAATTTTGATGTTTTTTCTTAAACAAAGGTGTGGATTTATTTTTGAGAGATACTGTTGGGAGGCAGTGCATAAACGCTGGTGTGCTAGTAACCGAGCTTCCGACCATTAAAACCGAGCAAATTTTACCACTGGTCTTGAGCTGTTGAAATGCCCCGAGGGTATTTTAATCAATGGGAAATGGAAAGACCTCATTAAATCCCAAAATTGTTTGTAAATGCAACTTTCTCGTCACAAAGTTGGATTGTAAGGTTCGATGACCATGTGTTTCTACTGCAAAATGTTGATGGAATCATGAATTTCCTGTTTTGAATGCCTTAATTTTTCGTCCTCATTTCGTCTCATTGACATCGCCCATAACAAACCCAGCTAGTTGTCAAGTAAGCCATTCGGTATATTGTAGAAGACATTCTTCAAACAAACAATGGTATATGTCCTTCCACCGAAACGGCGAATTATAATTTTTCGCAAGTTCCTTGACTTTTATACATTACAAATCTCTGATTCGGTAGGTTAAAATGCCACAGGGAAAGGAGCTCAAAGTGGATGAAGTGAGCTACAGAGAATATGAAAGAAGATAAATTTAAATTTAAGCCCTCCTCTTATTTGCATGACAGTTGAAATCATTGTGGCTGTAGCTACGCCCTTCCGCCTTTGTCTTCAGCATTGGCTTGTCCACCCGCCTGATCTTCTCCCTTATGCTAGTCGCCTTCGGATGATGGACAGAGGTTATCTCTGTTCGAGTTTGCTGAAGACGACAAAGGAGAATATCTTTGAGATGCTGGCGGAAGCTCTTGCCTGTAAGGATGTATATGATAAAGTTGCAGGCATAGTGGGAAGAGCAGAGGAAGTCAATAATCTCCTTAGCTGTGAGGAAACGCAGATACTGCTGCCACGCGGGATTTACGAGAATCTCTTCATCAGTGATATCATCGGGTATGTCGGTGAATCGCATCTGTACCACAAATACAATGCCTACAGGGAGGGTGCAGAGAATGAGATAGAAGGAGAGGATCACAAGCATTAGAGTTACTGCTTGGAAGTTGGCCTGCTCCTTTGCACTGGCATGCGCGCTACTGTGCTTTGCTCCTAGAACAAGGGGCTCTGCGGATTGCTCGATTGCTCCCTCTCCTGTAACTTGCTGCTGATTTTGGGAGTTTTGATTGCGTTGTAGGCGTCGAACAATGGAAACGTGAGGAGTCGATGACTTTTCACGACTTACGAGGAGTTTCGACTTTACTAAATGACCGATTTCCCGAAGAACAAGGATGTTAAACACCAGTGTAGCGATTGGGACAATAAGGGAGAAGATGCACTCCGTAGTGCTGAGATAAATGGAAAATGTAGTGTCATTTTGCCAGTGGTTAGCAAGAATACAAGCCCCATCAACCACTTCCCATGTAGAGGCGAAAAATATAGAGAAGCATGCAACAATAATGGCGAGTATGCAGACGCCTACTAGGGCTCGAGTAGTGGAGCAGAGCTTTTGGCGTTTGAATGGGTAGCAGATGGCTATCCAACGCTCCAAAGTAAAGCCAAAGGTGAGGACGATAGAGTAGTATTGGAGAAAGAGAAAGACCCCTTGGAAGAGCTGGCACATTCCATTAACGGATAACAAGGAACTGAGGAATAGGTAGAGCCGAAGGTATTCAGTGAAGAGGCAGACGATAAGAAGGAGATCAGTCAGTGCAAGGGTAGCCAAGTAGACTGCGGAGCTATTTTTGCCCCGTTGTCGATAGGAGACCCAAATGAAGAAGGATATGAGGTTGCCGATCAAACCTACTACAAACCATATCGGCGAGGCGTAGAGCTTCAGTTCAAATACCTCTGGTAAGAAGCGTTTGATAAGCAGTCCGTCGGGATATCGTCGGTAAACATTTGGGCTGTTGGTGACGTTTAACATTATGCCAGATTCGTCACTGATTCACTGATTGGAAAATGAACAAAAAGACCCGTTGACAATATCTATAGAGTGTTAATGTGTCCACGCGGGTGGCAACAAAGACTTCACGGTTTTGGAATCCATTTTTATGCGAGATAGATGCCTTAAGCATGTAAACATCAATGCTGAACTGTTTTGGCACGAATTAAAGGAAGACTTTGTGTCAATAGGAGCTGTTATATTACTTTGTTTACCTGACTTCGGCCAACACTTACCTAAAGGGATTAGATTAAACTAAGCCGGAAGAGATAGGGATGCAGCAACTTACAAGTGGGTTATTAAAATTTAAAAAAGGACTCAGTAAGTTAATATTTTTAAGGATCTTTTATACTAAACACTTAAAAATATTGGAATGCAATGCTAAAAGTTAGTGGTACATTTGCTTAAATGGAGGGACCCCTTAAAATTTGATGCTTTTAAATTATGTTACTACAAAAGTATTTGAGTAGCAACAACCAAAACTGCAATTAGTTTTTTTTAGATGGGATCAGAATAGTTCTGTGCCATGTGTAGATGTTAGTAAAACTTTTTATTATTAATGACTGAGAATGGCGAAAGTCTACCGCTTATGCTTGCCTAAAAAACGCTAAATAAGCAACCTCGGTTAGGGCGATTTGGAGTGACGGGAAATTTGTTACACTCCACCTCTTCAACTGCAACACAAGTGAGGCATGGATGCTATTCGCCTACAAATTTAATATAATTGTTCACTTATTCATTCAACCATTGGACACTTCAGTCGGAATAGCGTAGAGACTAACAGACTCCTCCCGTGTTTTGGAATTTGTATCCTAGCTTTGTTAGTAGCATATGGAGTTCGCGTTTGAGGGTGATTGGTGTGCATTTCACCACTCGAAAGTCCGGCGGTGGTCACTCGCATTTGCCTTTTGGTGGTTTCTGACCTGCATCCTTGCTTGAGGTTAGCCATAAAAGACTTTTGTGTACTTTTAGTGGCATGCACACACCAAAAAATGCATACGTACACAAGTTATGGCGATCCTAAGTCTACCATGTTCGTAACTCCACATAACGTTGGTTCATGTGATCGAAACGGCTATTTATAAGCTAAATATTTCTCTTTCGATTAACACCACTAAGGCACCTTACATTTTAGTTGTCGGTTTTCACGTTCTCTGCAAAAGGAACTCACTTCATAGTTTTCATAGCTAAACTTAAAATCCATTTTGCTGAGGATACTTTTTTGCCATTCAAATATAAAATAATGAATTATTATCGTTGCACTTGTGCGTAGGCCATTACCATTTCTTAAGACAAAAGTTTTTGCATAAAATGCGCTTGCATGCTGCATGGGAAGTTGGTTTCCAGGATCAGTGTTTTAAGCTATTAACAGTCCAATTTTTTCACTAAACCTTCCCGTTCACGTGGGGTGCATCTTACGCCTACCACCTTTGTCTTGAGCGCCACTGTCCAGACTTTCCCAATGCCTTATCAATGACCTTTGTTTAGGCACAAACAACTGCTCTACAGTTTTGCAAATGCACATTGTGAAATGGCTTCGGAGGGAATGATTTTAACATTCAGGTTGGGGAAGTGATTTCATGCCTTTAGCGATAGACCTCATGGCATCAATCCGCGGCCTTTTCGGATCGCGGGCGCCATGCTTCTTGTAAGGGTAAGTTATCACTTCTCTTTGGTAAACGGTGAAATGGCATCTCACTCCTTTGATTGATCGGCTTTAAACCGCCACCCGGAGCTTTGCAACTCAATCTACTGCCTAGTACGCTGTGAACAAAGCAAAAAAATGCGATGAATAAAAGGCGAGACTTCCACATCTCCCAGGTATTCCAACCCGTAAAGGGTGACCACTTTCATTCAGGTGAAGCAAGTTTACAGCTGGATTTCCGTACACAATAAAGCTGTAAAAAAATAACGGAAGGACAGTGGTCATTTCTGATCGGCAGCTGGTTGGTTCTTTCAAAGTTAGGTTACTTTATAAAGCGCGGAAAGCATTGGACACTTCCGAAGCCTTTCAAATGTGGACCAGAGAACATGTCAAAGATAAAAAAATGTCGATTGTTATCTTGACAAACATCGGCGGATAGGCTCTATGAGAGCCATTTTCAAATGGAACAATGCTTTCACTCCCATTCAAGTAAATGTCCAACGCCACATCAAAGCTTAATGCTCTAAAGGTTTCTCCTCCTCATTACAATTCGTTCAGCTAAAACGGTCATTCCCTCAAACGGAGCCCGATGGCACACATTTATGTTTCCTATGACAAGACTTAAGCTCGTTAAAACAACGATTGTTTCACCTCCCGACGTGTAAGGACTGCTTCCCCGAGTAATGATTTTTGATTCAATTTTAGCGAAATTTTTGGCGAATTTCAGTCGTGAACTCTACAAAACAACCAAGTTTAACTTTATTTTTCTAACTCTTGCCGACTATGAATAAGGCATGTTGTTGGCGGTCGCATTGTCAGGACGCTTATGGTCTTGTCGACTGGTGTGGCAAGCGACAGGGAACCCCGTTCTGTAAAGGACTGATTTTAAGAAAGCATATGCGAAGCAAGGGAAGGCGAGTGAGGGCGAGAGAGTAAGAAGACGCTGTCAAAGCGCAGACAGTAGAAGGGTGGAATCCTACAAACGTAGAAAGAGGTGCAGGGAATCCGACTTTTTCGCCTCTTTTAGTCATACTTTTGGGGAAAAGCGAGTGTTCAACTGCCTTTCATTTCCCATATTTACATGTTTAGCCTGCTTAGGGTAAAATATGCTTCTCTTCTACCATAAAGTTACATAAGCGATTTGTCATAAAGCATTACTACGGCACGAAGCTGAACAGAATAAATGGATGCTTTTGCTGTCCAACTACCGTTCAATTATCGGATGATACATTTAACGTTGGCTTAAAGTTAGCACCCGAATTTATTATTTCGACTTGCACTACCTTAACAAAGCAATGCGACCCTTCTTTACCACTGGCCTGCATTTATCGCATTGCAAAATCCTTATTATCTGCTCAAGAAGCTTTATGCATAAAAGAACAACTGATGGCGAATGATTGACTAGACAGTTTTAACTTGCCGCTGCGGCAAGTTTGATGAAATTCTTCTGAAGCTACACTTAAAAAAAGAGGTTGAGATGTTAAGTGGAATGCTATGCGTTATTTCTTCGATTCCACCATAAACATGTTTTCCAAAGTTTTCTAGTGATTCGATGCAAATTTATGGAATTTGACGCCAAATCCGAGGAACCGTAAATAAGATGTCAAATGCCAGTGCACATCAGGTCAACATGATTCCCTCCGCAGGTAGTGGGCTTTTGCATCTTCACAACAATGCATCTTTTCACAAACAGTAGCTGCGATAGCCATGCAGACGGGGCAACCGATTCGCCGTGTCAAGGAATTATAACAGTTCCTGCACCAATTTAATGACTGTAATTCCAGTTTTAAATTTGCACTTTTCAATATGACACGGTAGCACAAATGCTTTTTTTAGGCCTTAGTAGTTGTCGAGGCATGTAAACTGACGGTAAGTGCTGATCACTTTAATAGCGAAAAGTCACCATTATAATCCTTAGTTAAAGGCAACTCAAACTTTTAAATAAGCTTTCTCAATGTAAGTCTCAGAATATCGAACTCAAGCCAATCTGTCGATTGCTATCATGAGATTTGATGGTATTTTACTTCCTTTATATAATCAGTGGGTTTGCCCGTGAACTAGGAATTTTTTGCGAAAATCAGAAGCCAACATCAAGGTGCTAGGGACTCAATAAAACCTCGGCTGATGTTAAAATGAGCAGTTGTGCCCATTTGCCTGGGCGGTTAAACCATTCTTCAACCAAGTTGGAAAATTATTTGAAAGACTCACCAGTGATTTTGAGAATATGATTTGAACCAGCTATATTCCAGAGTGAATTGTGTTGGTGTTTCTGGAACCAAGCAGAGGTCGAATGTTTATCTCAAAGAGGAAACTATATCAACCCGTAAGATTCCGGCGAACTCCACCTCCACGCTGATTGGTCGGTAGAGGACCAATGAACTGTGTCTCCGTAATTTTGTAAGCATGCATATTTGTGTTTCAGAGCTATCAGCATCTCAAATGTGAACCAATGCTTGCTATTAAAGCATCATAATATACATCTCATACAGTTATTCTTGCTCTGACTGAATCGGGATGCTTTCTATAAACTTAGTCAATGAGCCAATTATTGTGTTGTATTTTTGGATTGTAGTTATTGGCACCAAGTTTGGATATTTTGGTGCAGGTAGGCTTGTAAAATAATATCTAGGGAAATGAATAAGCATAGGAACATCTCAGTCTTGGATACGCGAATGCAGTTGCTGCGTGCGTCCAGGAGTTAATACCTTACTCTTGAGCAAAATTCCATGTTCTTAAATCCTCTGTATTGAACTTGGCCATTTATAGTAATACCTTTAAAACAAGTTGACACACGTAATTTTTACTCCCAGAGAGATGTGTAATGGGATATGAAGCTCCAATTGCTGCTACTATTTACAGTTTACTTTCTTCTGATCTGGGATATGTGCTCATGCTATCAAATGTTGTTGCTGAATGCAGTCGCTCTTCGAGTAAATAGCCTGAACTTGGGAGGAATGGCTATTTAGCCAAAAAAATTTTATTATTGCGACAACATCCTGGATGTCAAATATCTTACGACAAAAGCACTGACCTCCATAGCCTAGCAAAACCATACCAAAGTACATTGTGATACCTTTGATGAGTGGTTGTGCTGGACGGAGACGCCGCAAGTGTTTAAAAGGGGTAACTCAGCAGTACCAATGAAAGCTGTTTTGAAGCGAGTTTAGACTTAGCTCCGTGGGGTGTTAGGGTAACTTTGAAACATTTCGTACTACCATAGCTACAGGTGTACAAGTCACAGGCATCCGTGAAGACATAATGAGACTCAATTATGACAAGGCACTTATTAAATTTGTGCAAAAACGAGCAATATTCCCGATTTCCAACTAACAACAAA